CTCTCCCAGGAAAACATCAAGATATAATGCTTTATGCAATCAGTAATGTTGCGGCCCTCTGTTGATAGCTACCACAGGACAAGGTCATCCTATAGACTACACCATCCAGTCTGAGCATCACTGCAGCATCTTTGTAATGCACGCAGTCGTCTGTCCTAACCAAGGATCTCACACTGACTTTCCTGCTGCAGGACACAGACCAGAATAGCTCTAAAAAATTATATGTAGAAATCCAGACTTCAGAAATACTGAATGAAGAATTAAAGAATCTTTTCTAATAGAATCAGGTAGGGGAAAATGTACACAAGCTATTAAAGTTATATAATCATTGGGGGGAAAAAAAAGGCAACAGAACTGTTTTATAAACTCCTTAACAGGCCAAACTTGATTATTATTCTCATTCTAAATTTCCTGACCATTAAAAAATATTTTTTTATTTCAATTTTTAGGTCAAGCACACAACAGAACCATTGAGACACCTTGCACAATAGCATCTCCTTTGTTTTAATCACTAATTGTTGTGGGTGTTCTTGTCCTTGATGGATAAATTTTATAAATCCTAAATTTCAAGCACAAACTAGTCATGCCCTGCTCACTTCACAATGCCAAATGTTCAGCTGCAAGGTCCTGGCCAGGCCTCTCCCAATTCCTGACAACAGGAGTTCAGTTTATGTCCCTGGTACTGAGTCAGCGGACAGATGCAAAACCCCCTTGTAATGCTCTCTGAAGGTGAAAACTGATGCTAAGGCAGGGCAGGATTGCACTGTGAGCAACCCATGGAGAGCTCTAGAGCTTTAAGAGCAGAGAAAAAAAGTCTGGAAAACAGAAGTCTTTAGGTTTTTGTTCTTAGATCAGTAAATGATGTGCCACGAGGAAAAAATATTGAGGAGGATGTTGGCTACTTCTTCACTGAGGTCCCTGCTTCCAAATACAGCTGCCTACACCTATCTAGCTACATCAGCAGAGGCAAAATCTCCAAGATTTCAGCAAAATTTCTAAAAAAACAGAACCTTGCATGTCTGCAATAGAAGCTGCAATTGTAAGGAGCCAAATCTCCAATTTGCAAAGCAAGAGCAATTTGTGATGGGCTTCACAGGTACCGTGTGTGATGTCATGAGCTGGGACAGAAGCTTGAACAAAGGGGTACCCAGTATGGGTGGCCACCCATTTATTTCTGCTTCCATAGCCATGGGTAGCAGAGCTGGAGCTTATATTTGCTTCTTTGCTTGATACAAGAGAGACACTGAGAGAGCTGGGGCTGTTCAGCCTGGAGAAGAGAAGGCTCTGGGGAAATCTGAGAATGGCCTTTCAGTATTTAAGGGGGGCTGCAAGAAAGAAGGGGACAGACTCTTTAGCGGAGTCTGTTGTGATAGGACAAGGGGAAAAGGGTTCAGTCTAAAAGATGGGAGACTAATTGAATATAAGGAAAAAAATATTTACAGTAAGGATGGTGAGGCACCGACACAAGTTGCCCAAAGAGATGGTAGATGCCCCGTCCCTGGAGACATTCAAATTCACGCTGAACGGGGCTATGAAAACCTGATTGAGCTGTAGCTGTCCCTGTTCATTGCAGGGAGTTGTACTAGGTGGCCTTTAAGAGTCCCTTCCAACTCAAACGATACTGTGATGCTATAAGATTATGCAGAGCAGAGCATAGACTAAGCAGCAGATGGAAGTGACTCTGAGACATGCAGTGAAGACATGGAAGCTCCAGGTGCATCTTCTCCTACCTCCTGCCATTTTCCATTTCCAGAGAAACCTGAGACTGCCCTGGAAGCAGTCTGATCAATTCCTTGTGATCAGTGTGTATTAAACATGTTTCTCTTCTTCCCTGAGGACAGCAGAAGTGAGCGACTTTTTCAGAGACTGGAGAGTCCCATCTCCAACCTTCCAATGTTACACAGATAGGTGTTTTTTTTCCCTTCCAGTTGGCAGCAGGCAGTTCAAGTTCTGCACAAATTAGTGGTAATCTAAAACAATTTTCCTCTGATTTTTCTCTTTTTGCTCCCTGTACTGCCAAGGTTTCACCCACCCCACTTGGCTTGGGGCTCAGCCTGACATGGTGTGCTTGTAGCCCCAAACCAGCCAATGCCATAAAGCTTCTCTGGATCTCCATCACCTTTTTTGCCCATGCTGCTCACCCAGTAATTGACAGATCCACTTGGGGTGAAATACTTTATCCACTTTTTGCTCTTTCTTCCAACTTAGCAAAAAAGAAAGAAAATCCTCCTGGTCTTGGTCCTCCTGGAATTTTCTCACATCCTTTCCAGGTGTAAAAAGATGATGCCTTTTTGCAATCCCATTATTACAGATATGCACAGTTATTAAGAAAATGCTGTGAAGGCACATCAAGCAAATAATACCAATTTTCAAAATTCTATAGCAATGTATTTATACAATTTACAGAATTCTGTATGTATTTTACACACCATTACAGAATGTCAAGTAAATAACACCAATCGCTCTGTTTTTTCCCCCTCAGATTTCTCTTCAAGTGAATTTTAATGCTAAAAAGGGGTGTCAGATCGGCAGCACTAGGAAATGAAGAGTTCTGTTTGTGCACGGCTGTGGGGCAGCAGCACACATGCGTGCCCATGTCAGCTCAGCTGCCTCCAGCCCCACGCTGGGACCAAACCAGCCCTACATTGGGACCAAACCAGAGAGGAGCGAAGAGCTGAAGCGCATCCTTGCCCCTGGCACGGAAGCCAAGCAGCACCCAGGGGACTAAGGCTTTGTCCACCCCCGCCAGAAAACAGAAATAACTCATTTTGCACAAATGACTGAACAAAATCTGTTGTTCAGTCCTTGAGCCAGGCTGGATTAGGCCTGGTCAACATGCAACGAGTGGTAAATTGTCAGCTCCTGGACCATCCAGCTCACAGTAACGCCTGTGTTAAATTACATGTTTCCATATTTACAGAAAGTCAGTATTTACACACCATTATGGGTTATTAGAGTAAATTGGATACAGTTTATTTATATGGACTGCCATAAACTCATAACATTTTTCTTGGTTTTAATCCTTTCTTTAGAAAAATACAAAAAAAAAAAAAAAAAAAATTAGAACATGTTAACAAGTAGTAATGATTTGTCTATGACTAAAAATCCAAATCAATTGAACATTAAGACTCAGTCCATGGCCTAGCACCGTGGCCTCGACTCGTCAGGTTTTTAACCTTTGCAGCTCACTTCCTGGCACACACAAGATTTCCTGCCAAAACACAGAGTCACAGCCGTCCTTCCTTCAGTACCATCGGTCTGTTTGACAAGTGGTGAACCCTGCACTTCCCAGGATCTTGCTTACATGTTTGAACTCTAACAAGGCTTTTTGCTCCTGGCCCAACCATTCAGCACCTGGATAACCTGCAGCCATATTTACATGCAGGTTTGAAAGGGTTGAAAACCAACCGCTGTGCTGAAGGTTGGGCTTAGGCCCCTCAGCAATAGCAGTCCCCAGGCAAGCGCGTGTGTCTGACTGCATCTTACAAATCAACACTCTGCTTCTGTGTGTCTTTAGCACTCAAAAACATTACAACAAAATGCCATCTCTTAGTGAAGATTGCTGGTATCTCCCAGTTGAGGCGTGGCTCCTCCAACCCACAGAGCACAGCGAGCTCCCGCTCGCTCAGGGCACCGAGCCATGAGCTATTCCAGAACAGATTTATGCTCCGAATCATATCTGTTTATTTTGCACAGACAGATGTGCATCAGAGAAAAAACAAATCAGGATTATACAATTGTGAATAGGGTAATTGTGAATAGGGTACAGTTACAGCTACCCCAAAGCATGTTTTGGCTCAGCTCTAGTGCTGCCAAGGGCAGCCGGGGTATCACGCTCCCTGCAGACCCCACAGCAAAAGCTGTGCTCACATTAATGGCACCAGGTTACAACCCTAAAGGATGCAACAGCTCCAAAATGCATTTGTCGTGTGGACCTTATGTGACTTTCCTCTCTTTTTTTTTTTTTTAACCTTCAGAGTACTGGGGAAAAAAAATGTTTCTTTCTACAGATTAATTCCCAAATGGTAACAGCTCATCAATGTGTTTGTGTGCTTAACATACAATGCTACAGTTCCTTAAATATTACACACTGTTATTTCACAGTTCATAAATATCTGAACATACTTTAAGAAAAAAGTCTAATACTTTCCCCCCATTGTCATTATTGATAGAGATTTATTAGTTTCATTTTGCAAGTTTTACTTTAAGAAGGGTGCTAATATGTATTATGACAGTTCACACTGAAAGCAATTTTCCATAAAAGATGTTACAATGACCCCTATGGAACTTGTATAATTTCATAGTAGATAGTCAAGTGCACAAATAAAACACATTTACAAGAGTGATCCTGTTAGCCTGGTTCTTGCCCTCTGAAACCCTTATGTGCTATTTGAGGAATCTTAAAATTAGTACAACTGTTGATATTACTTATGCTGTTCCTGGAATTCTGCTTTAGGAAAAAAAAAAAAAAAAAAAGCATACTTATCATTTAGCTTTGGTATGATCTGCAATAGGTTTTAACAAGTAGAATATATTCCAACCCTTATATTTTCCGCAGCTGTGAAGTTTACAATGATGTAATAAGTCACTTTATCAGAGAGGAAATATTACAGACACAGAAAAATAGTTGGAGACCCAGTTTTCTTTTTAATCCTCTGGGGGTAAGCTATGAAACAAGCAGTCAGAAGAGTGAGTACTCAGTGTCATGAGTGGTATGCATACTTTTACAATAATATGGGCACAAAAGAGATTGTCGCCTTTAGTACATGAGGGTCACTAGAATTTATTATTATTACCTTTTTATTGTTATTCTTTTTATCCATGCACCTTTATATTTACTTGCATGAATTTACCACAGGTTCATAGTGGCCTTTGCCATTTTAATGCTTACAGAGCCTAAAGCTTCCAAAATGCCTATCTGGCCTGTACATATTTCATTAAAAATAAACTCTATATAATAAATAAATATATAAAATAAATAAAATGTTGCCTTTGGAATTTCTATAAATAAATTTAACTTTTTATTTTTATTTGTTTTTACTAAGAGGTCTTTGCTTTAAACTCAGCGGGGTGAGACCCAGCGAGCGATTAACTGAAAAGTCTCTTGTCTACGTAAGACTGCACCCTCCATGCCTTTGTAAATGCAGCGTACACTTGAGCAGGCCACCAGCCAAAAATCCCGATGAATCAAAGTATGGCAGCTATGCTGATATATGACGAAGTACAACTGATCAAAAATTTAAAAGCGTGTCCATTCCCCAGCATGCATCAGGCCGTTCTCCTCCTCCCTCTGGCTCCCCTCTCTCACTCCCATTCACGCTCTCGCTTCCTCTCGCTCTCACTCACTCTCTCGCGCTCTCCCTCTCGTACTAAATCAAGCGAGTGGGCATAGGCTCTCCTCCAGGAGGACAAACCTTTAAGTGCAGAACAAAATCAGCATGTTCCATCCAAGCCTCCATCATACATTATGCATGCGACAAATTTTGGCAACAGTGGAGCTGATGTGATGACACAGCTAATCAATAAGAACCCACCGCATGAAACCTTTATAGTGGTTACTTTTTAAGGGCTCAAGTGAAGGAATTGTCTTTGTCAACTTTGGCTTAAAATATCCTTATATAGTTCAGGTACTTTCTCAGGGTCCACTGGTCTAGGTAAAAAATGTGTAAATTTTTGATGCCGTTTAGTCCTAGTCCCTTCTCTTGGAGTCCCATCTTTATTTAACGCAACGTAGTATCGTCTTCCAGTGTCCACGTGTTTATATAGATTTGATGAATATGTGTTATACCAGTTTTCTTCAAACTGCTCTCTGAATACACACTCCTGGGTTAATTTTTCCTATGAAAAGAAAAGAAAAATTGGTAAGGAGCTAGCCATAAAAAAAATCTATTTTGTAAAGAATTATGAATTTCACTGCTCAAAATCAGTAACTCCTTGTTCAATTTACAGAATGAATCCTTGCAATGAATAATCCCAGTTTTAACTAAATAAAGCAGTATTGCTGAGTGTTTCATAAAGCAGTCACATGGGTGGAACACACTGTGTGAAGCAAAAATGATCCTCCAGAAGCGTTGTTGTCAAAATCAAAACAGCGCCAATGAAAATGGAAACAAGGATTTTAATTTATGATCATCCCAAAGCAGCTCACAAAATATTACTGGGCTTGTATAAGCAATTGCTTGATCATGAGTGCAAGTGCTTGAACAGACATTATGAAAGGTTTGTAGAGTGGGGATATCATTCAAGATCTTAAAATCTCTACATCCTTTTATCACAAGGAGTACTCAGTGCATCTCATTAATTACAAAGGATACAATTCAATACCCATCATTTGGTTTGTTATCACAGAACCACAACTCACAAAAGCCTCAAACAGGAGCAGTAACTCTAAGTGCTGAGATGAACTTAAGTGAAGAAAGGCCTCCAGACTTTATGAGCATTGTTTTGGTGTTCCATCCTACAGAAAGCATCCACTAAAGACATCAGCCATTCACCATCTCCCCTGTCAGGGAGTCCCACTCCTTCCAGTTCACCTTCTCATTGAGTCAGTACATATCACCTACACTCTTCATACTCTACACCTACAAAACTTCATACAACACTGGATTCTATAAACACGTAAATATGTAAAGCATGTGTGCATATGCCTTATAGAAATTAAAACTTTAAATAACCCTTTTAGATAGATGCACAGAGATGGAAAAACAGAGATCAAGGCCCAGCTGCAGTAAAGCCTTTATTGCACATACACCTACAACCTGAGCACAACCAAGGAGCCATATCTCAAACTCCAGTTCCTTCCAAGAAACCACCATCTACAGCTTGACCCAGAAGCTTCACAAAATGTACCACCACTATGTTGCAACTTGGCCTGGGGCTGAAGGTGACTTTGGAGGTCACTTCTGTGTCTCAGGACTCATAAGCTCTTTTCCTACGGCAACATGCTTCAGTCCAGAGGTTTTGCTGCTGTTTCAGGACATACCCAGAAATGCCTTCTCCTTGACAGAGCCAAGATGGCTCAGCATGCACCTTGAAACCAAAGCGTTTGGGTCCATTGGGAGTGGAGTGTTCCCAGCAATCCATGAGAGGGCCTGGCACCAAAGCAGTATGTCCTCAGGGTGACACTCCATCTTGCTGACTGCATGACAAGCACCTGCTCCCCATGAAGGGTCTGCGCCCCACTGGGGCTGGAGACCAGGGTCCTGTTTGGGTCCAGAGAGCCCTACGTACCTCCCCAGGAGTCACCCAGGAACCAATCCACATGGGAGAGCAACCAGTCAGCACTCCACCTACTACCTGGAGACAGAGCTGCAAATCCAAGGTCCTCTTCAATGCCAAAATGGTTAGGATTTAGAGGGGTTTTTAATGTTGTTTTTTTTTCCTATAATTAACCTGTGATTATTCTGTTAGTCTAGAAAGGCAGCAAGCAAGCAGTTCCTGACTGTCTGGTGGGTGTTGGGAACCTCATCACTTCTCAGGAAGGAGAAAACCCCTCCAGGACCAGGCAGGAGGACATTAAACACTTGGAAATTCACTGTGGCAGAGGCAATGGCCCTGCATAGACTCAGTTGGCTGTAGCAGAAGAGAAGACCGTAGTCCCATTCCTCACAGCATCTCCAACCGTTCCACCACCAGATGTCCCTCCCTGCGGGCTCAGCTGAGCACAGTGCATAAAAACGTGAGCAGGTCTGCAGAGCTGCTGCATGTAATCGTTTCTGTCATTTTCTGACTATGACACTTTTACTGTGTGAAGCAGAGAGACTTTGGAGTCCCCCTTCCTAGAGATCTTCCAAAGGTGCCTGGACGTGGCCCTGGGCATCCTGCCCTGGTGTCCCTGTTGGAGCAGGGGTGAAGTAGGTGGCCTCCAGAGGTCCCTGCCCACCTCAGGCATCCTGCTGTGCTGTGAAGTAGCTCAAACACAGCAACACCCATGCTGTTTAGAGAAGGAAGAGAAACACATACCTGTTTACATTAAATCTTTGTATATGAGCCAAATCCTGCAATCAGCTATTGATAATTTCCTCCTATGTAGTCCTACAGCTAGAAATTGCAGCAGCAATGTGTACCACCAGACATCTGCAGCAGCCAAATATTAGGCATATTCCAGTAGCCCCTTCTACAGCCTCTAAGTACTACAAAAAAAATTCAGCTTCTATAAAGATCATCTTTAAGCACAGCTCTCATTACTGTTTTATTTTGCATGATGTTTAAAATCACTTTCTTTGCTTTAATGCAAAAGCAGATGCTAAGAGATACTATCTGCTGAATCTGTCAGACCATCGGGGAAAGAGAAACTAATGCAAATTGTTTTCCTGCTCTCAGAAGGCAACAGAATCACATGACAAGCACTGCAGAAGTGCTCCCTACTAAAAATAGCAACAATTTAGGAGGATATTTCAGTCCTGTCTTGAATTCATTAATTATTCACTTCATCTGCATCTTTTTTAGCATCATCATAAATTTCTATCTTTGTGTGAGCAGTATTTTCCCGTGCCCTGAAGGAGAAATTTTAAAATAGCCTCTCTTTATCTGGCAGGTTTGATCGATTATGACAGTGCTGTGGTGCACTGAGCTGGCAGACCTTGGATAAGGTCTGCATGCTGGGTGAGCTCAATGGATTTCAGGCTTACAAATTCAATCTTCATTTTACAAATTCAGCTTGCTTTTACTTTCCATTCTCTCACAATACAGCTAGTTGTCTTCTACCTTTTATATAATTCTGAGAAATCCATACACAAACTGTAGGGAAATACTTCAATAAAAACCTCACAGAGTGATCAGGACGCAGGGTCAGATCTGTAATTATACTAATAACCACACATTCAGAAAAGTTAAATAATCACACTTTCAGTGAAGTTCAATATTTTCATTAGAAATTCTTTAAACAGTTCCCTAGAAATTCTGGTTGTAGCAAAAGACCACTGCAACAAATCATGTTGCCCAAAGAAGCTGCGATGCCCCATCCATGGAGGTGCTCATGGCCAGCTGGGATGGGGCTCTGGGCAGCCTCAGCTGGTGGGTGGCAGCCCTGCCCATGGCAGGGAATGGGGCTGAGTGGGCTTTAAGAACATAAGCCAGTCTATAATTCTATTAAACAAATGACACTGACTTTGAATTATAAATATACACAAGGAATGTGAGGAATAAAATCCTAGTATATCCTTCTTTCCCATACTCTGGAAGATTCTTACAAGAATGCTTCATCTGGTACCAAGACAGGCAAGAACTAATAGTCACCAGCATATTCATCTGTACTACACTACTTAAACACTAGTTCACACTCATGCTTTGAGCATGTGTTTTATTCTGCCAGCATGAAGATAATGCAGGGGTGAGGCCAGTTCCATCCTGCCAACACACATCTTGTTACCTCACCAGATTGGGATGGGAAACCTGCTGGAAGCCACCACTGCCAGCAGGGAGGCAATCATGCCTGCTGATTGCAGGTGGCTGCATTTTATAGAGTCACAGAATTGGAGCTGGAAGGAACCCTTAAGGCCACCTAGTCCAACCATTGTAATGAACAGGGACACCTACAGCTTGATCAGGTGCTCAGAGCCTGGTCCAGCCTGACCTTGAGTGTATCCAGGGAAGGGGCATCCACCACTTCTCAGTGCCAGTGCCTCACTACTCATCATAAAAAACTTTTTTTCCTTATATCCAATTGCAATCTCCCTTCTTTTACACTGAACTCATTTTCTCTTGTCCTATCACAACAGACTCTGCTAAAGAGTCTCCTACCTTTTACATAATTCTGAGAAATCTTGGGTCTCCCCAGAGCCTTCTCTTCTCCAGGGTGAACAGCCCCAACTCTCAGCCTGTCTTCGTAGGCTACACATTCCATTCCTTGGATCATTTTTCTGGTTCTCCTCTGCACATGCTCTTACTGTCCTTTCCCTTCTTCTGGCTGTGACCTTTACAAAGCCCCTAAACATAGCTGAAAATATTTGGACCTTAGATTCAGAACTTCTAGAATCAACTGACTTCTCTATTATTTTCCAGTGCCAATATTTTATTGCACTACACTTGATGTCACCAGACATCTCTATCGAAGGCTGACACAAATACCAAACATACCCAGCTGGAGCAGTAGTGGAAAGCAACCTGCATTCCTGCAGAAGGGGAGCCTGCCTGCCTTGAGCGAATCATTCAATTCAGGGACCAATAAGGAGGTGACCTCAAAATTATATAAATCATATGTTTCACCGCATAGCACATGTTTTCAATGAGGGCTGTTCATATAGTATTCCAGTACGAAGTGATTGATCCCCATTTTACTACATTCCCACTCTCTACCTGTTTTTTTAAGCTTTTATTTAACTCAAATGTTCAAGTAATTCAAATGTTCAAAGATGCACCTATCACAAAAGCAAATAAACCAGTGGATTTAATTCAGAAGCCTGACAACATCTGGTTAGCAGCTAAATATGGAGCAAAACAATTATATTATTCTATTTCCAGGTAGACCCATTAAGAGTGAGACTGTAAATTAGTATAGCAGGAAACAACCAGGAAAGCTTTGGCAACTTATTTAAAATAGATAACCCTGTGAAGCAGCTAACTGGAAATAAGTGGAAATAGGAAAAATCCTACCCAGAGGATGGTTTCATGATTTAAAGAATGGTTATACATTAGTGTTGCTTCACAAATGAAAGCACAGGATAGGATCCTGTATAACTCTCACCAATATTCTTTTTTTTTTCTTTTCTTTTTTTAATAAACTGCAGAGCTAAAGCACAAATTTATTTTGTAATTTGACAAAAGGAAATAGCTCAAAAGGACAAAAGGAATGGCTCTTCTGGTCACCAGACCCATTACCACAGCAAACAGGTTTCATG